GGGGGAGAGAGGGGCGAGGGGGAGAGAGGGGCAGGCATCATGGGCATTCGACGACACACACTAAGCTTCTAGGCACCTCAGGTATCACAAGTCAATCTCCTCCGATTTCAGTATGATCCTTGTTTTGATGAACCAGAACCACACACTTCCTGACATCAAACCATAAACAAGCCCGAGGGCTGGCAGTGCTAGCTGAGGAAATTAATTATTAGCTGCATCTCTGACACTGGACGAAGATACTCCACTAGCACATTGGTGTCACACTCCCTTCATTAGTAGTAATTGCCACGAAATGTGTGCATAAAAACTCCCTAAACCATAGTCAGCAGTATATGGTGACTTACCACACATATATATATACATATATAATATTTTTATATTTGTATATATATTATCAGGAGCTAATAATGACAAATTTGTCATAACCTACCCTTGATAATACCAAGAGCGTATAAAGAACCTTCTTTATACGCTCTTGATAATACTTGTCACGCTTTACGGGAGCATACTTACGCGTCTTCCTTCTAACTGATGAACTTGGTTGGAACATTCTCTAGCTTCAAGAAACGATCATGTATTACACGCGGTGTATAGATGGTTAATCTGCCTGCGTTCAAGGTAGTTTCCTCAAAAGTGACATTTAGAATCAGGATTGATTTACTAGGCGTTATCAGAGAGGGGTATAGTGATGCGCAGTTAAACAGCACAGTTTTCAATTACGATGACATAAATGGCAATGGAGTTAGATTCATGCGAGATTATAGCTTTTAATTTTGCAATAGGAATTGTATTATTACACGTTTCATAAAGATTTCACAACAGCAGGTGTTTTGTATGAACTCTATATCTCGGGCAGGCAGGCTACCCTGCTAAATTGGGCCACTGATCTATTTAAGCATGTTATGTGCCAAGCTTTTGTGTGCGAACGCTAGCTATGCCGAATAAATGCAGCCTGTGTGAGTGCAACATGAGGAGTGAGACAGATAGACGGACAGGCGGATGGACAAACAGACAGACAGGCGGATGGACAAACAGATAGAGAGTGAGACAGACAGACAGGCAGACAGCCAGACAGCAGGCAAACAGACAAGACAGACATACAGTCAGAGAGAAATACGGGCGGACGGACGGGTGGGGTCACGCATCCACACATACAGACAGTGACACACTATATATATATATACATAATACAGTATAACGCAGCGCACACGCACGTGCAGAGAGAATTGGATATATATGGAAAAGGAAAAGCAAAAAGGAGATAGAGTAAAGACGGCGAGAAAGTGAGAGAAGGAGAGGAAGGGAGGGAGGGAGGGAGGGA